TCCATGGCCAGGCAAAAGGTCTGCTCTTGGGTCAGGATGCCCTGAGATGACCAAGCTCATCAGTCTGTGGGTTGTGTGTGCTGATCACTCTCTAACACCAGCAATTCCCTTCTCTCATGCCAAGGAGCAGCATCCAAGCAAGGCAGCCAGAGGAGCCTGAGGTCGGGAAACAGAAGGCACCGTGGCTTTTCCCCTGGACGTCCCCAGTCAGCTTGCAGCCAGAATGGAGACGATGGATTTTATGGCATGAGTAAGATTCCCTGAGGTTCTGTTTTCTTCCTGGTGTTACAGAACTCGGTAGTTTTGAGCAACCTGGGCTAGTGGGAGGTGTCCCTGCCCATGGCAGGGGGGGGGGAGCAGAGGTATATTAGGGGGTTGGAACTTGATGATCTTTAAGGTCCTTTCCAACCCAAACCATCCCATGATTCTATGATCCTATGATTCTGTTATTCTAGTTTAGCCTATGAAGGGACATCTTTGCCGGTCTTTTTTTTCTTCTGCCTTCCTCTTGGAATATGGTGCTCACCAGACACATGTCTGGCTGGAGTCCATCTCCTTCAACGGGGAAGAAGCTGCAATTTCCCCCGAAAATCCCAAATCGCAGTCAGTGGCTGCTGACGAGGCTGGGAAGTTAATTGGCAGCCGTCACGCAGATAACACGAGGGATGAAACTGGGTGTAATTAGAGGCAAGGAGATGCGAGACACTTTCTTGTCACCAAATCCTCCGCTAATGAAGATGAGTCGGATCGGACCTTGTCTGGCGCTGTCAGCTCTGCAGATGAATTAAAATCGCCCCTGATCAGGCTCATTAACCCGATAATGGCGCGGAGAGGGCGAGTGGCCGTGCCGGTGGCGATGGCGGCTGGGTGATGATGCTGACGCGGTCCCTCCGTTGCAGATGTGGAGGAGAGCAGCCTGTCGCCCTGCGGCACCCCGTCCTCTGCCTGGGAGCACAGCGGTGTCCTCGAAGGTAGGGCAGAGAGCTGACGGGACTTGCCAGGGTGCAGGGGCATCGGGTCCGCGATTTGGGCTCTTCACCAAATAATTCTGCTGAGTTTTTGGGGTTTTTATAAAACCTTATGACCTAAAACTATGAGCACAAGACCTGACTCCTGGGGTGCAAAGGGCAGAGCTTGGTGGGGCTTTGGGTATAAATTTACCGCAGGTTCATTTTTGAAAGGTGCAAGAATGTCATTATCCACGTTGGACTAATGAGGCAAGGGGAGAGGAAGGATTTTCCCAAAGACTCGGCAGCAGAACAAGCCACCCCCCATCCCGGCATGTGGACCCTGCTCCCTTGCGCTCTCCTCTAGCACCTCGTTCTGAGCCCAGCTTTGTGTTCCTCCCTAGGGCCGCTACAGAGCCTGTCTGCTTCCTCTGCACAAGCCCAAAAATCCATCGAGAGCCTCTTCGCTGCAAGGTACGGGCCAGCTCCACCATCCTCTGCCCTTGGCCAATGTCTTGCACCTACGTGGGTCCGATGCAAACACAAGTGAGGGGAGAGGAGGAACCCCCCAGGGTCAGCGCCTGGAGCCAGGACCAGGCGTGATGCCAGCGGCTGGGGGCCAGGGATGGTTTTTGGAGGGTAGGGTGGGTGTCAGGAGGGGACACGGAGGTTACAGCCACCTTTTTGTCCTCCTGCAGGCTGACCCTCCATAAAACCAGGCTGTTGACTCGAGCTGCCAAAGGGTTCATGAGTAAATCTCCGAGCAGAGCAAGCGAAGCCAGCTCCGAGGGCGACAACGAGAACGCAGACTACCTTCCCCTGGTGAGCAGCTCCTTCCCGCGTCTTGCCGGGGTTGCGTGGTACCGGCAGGAGGATCCCCCCCCTGATCCCACCTTGTGCTGTCTCTGATGGCCACACCCAACGTTCTGCTCGGGGATGGGGAGCTGCTCCATCCATGCATGCCTTTTTCCTGAATTCCCAGAAGCGGTTGGTATCTCAGAGCTTCTCTCTATGCCCACCGCTCCTTGCAGGCGTCTCTGCAGCTGGCTTGCGGTGCCTTCCTCATGAACTCAGCCTTCTGCGACGCCATCAACATTCCCATGGAGAAGCTCAAGTGGACATCGCCCTTCGCCTGCCACCGCCTGGCCCTCAGCCCCTCCAGCTCCTACAGCACCAAGAAACCAACTCCCTCCGGGGAGAACAAGAGCTTCAGCTCCGGCCAGAAGCTCCTGGTTCCTGATGGAGCCCATGGGAAGAGTCCCACCACCAGAGATGATGCTCCAGGTCCAGTGCCGGGAGGATCCAGTGGTCACACGGAGGATGCTGGCCGCCTCCGCCACTTCTCGGGCAGCGCGGTGGAGAGCAGCTCCAAAGCCCTGAAAGCTGAGAAGGAACTCTCTCCCCCGGCCATCACCATCCGCCGCTTCTCCTCCCCGGAGAGCACGCCGGCCGAGTGGCAAGCCGACAGCGACCGGGGCTCGGAGACGGACAGTTCTGAGGTCCAAGCGTTGCTTTTCGAAATCGAGTTGCAGCAGCAGACGGAGCCAGAGGGGATGCTG